GAATCTAGCTCCTGAGAGCTCCTGTATCCTTATTGAGTGTGTTTTATGTTAAATTGTGAATTACTTGAATGTTATAATTTTATTTCTCGCATAAGTGCTATTGCTTAAACTACATGTTTGCATGTGTCTTTCTTGGCCTCACGAGCATTCGCTCACCCCATTAGCTTTGTTTTCCTTAACAGGAGTCGAAATGGAAAGAATTATGGAGAAGCCAACTTGATGGACTTTTGGTTAGGGTTTGAATGTAATTGTTTAGACAACTTTTGGAGGTTGTATATTTTGGGGAATGTTGATGTACTTTTAGTAATTTGTAATGTAAGATTTGAATGTTTATTAAGGAAGTGACCCTTTCTTTATATTTTTGACTTTTAATATTGATCGATTAACCATAAGTTGAATTCGTCTCGTAGTAAGTCCTGGCGAGAGTTGGGCAGGCATCCCACAGATACCCTTGAGTTCGCCTTTGTGAGAAGTGGGGGCGTCACAAGTTATACCTTTTCAAAAAATGTCCACAAAGTTGGAAATTTGTTTGAAACTGGTTGAGAGAGAGAGAGCAATTGCGTTTGGCTTTTCTCTTGGTTTTATATGGTGAAATTCTCTTGCTAATGCCCTAAATACTTGATTATACCATAATCCTAGCATGAGAGTGAAAATGATAAGTTTTAGGAGGTAACAATTTTTCTTGTTTCAAGTTTTAAATTTTCAGCTTAGATATATGTTGAAGATATGCTTGGTACATGCCTACTTTAGTTGGTTTTGTAGCTTAGAATAAGAACCTCTTGTATCTTATCACTTGTGAACTTGTTTGGGGCTGTTTGGCTATTAAAGTTAGCTTTGAAATTGGAGGGAAAATGTAAGAAAAAATAGGGGAAATGCTATTCGTTTATTTTCTTGTAGTATAAGTGAGTGAAAGTGAAAGTGAGAATGTGATTTTTGGATGACTTGGACTTAGTTTGCTTAGGGATGCTTGAGTCCACTCTAGTGGTGGTATATGAGCTGAAATTTGCCAAAATCCATACATTTTACATGGTGAACGCGATGACCAATTTAAACATGATTTCTAGTTGCATATGCCAAGTTTTAAACTCAAAGATTTTAATCGTTATCTTTCCAAAGACAAAAAGAACTTGTACGTATCTTGCATAGGTTTACTAATCCATGAGGTCTATTTATATAAGTTCTATTTACATGATTTTCCTTTGATATTAACAAGCGAGGGTTGAGGTGTGAATTTAGGGCATTTTTGTTTTCCCTTGTATATGATTTTACTTAAAACCCTTGTTACAATCTCTTTCTTTACATGTGTTTTAGTTTTGAGCCAAGACAAGAGATTTAAATGAATGGAAATGAATTTCTTCAAATCATTTTCTAGTCGGACAATGTCCAACGTTGCACTTTGAAAGTCTTAACCTAATTTCTTCAAACGTTTGACTATAATCGATGCTTGTGTGCTTCAAATGACTCTTGAAACATTGATTTAGTGTACACATGAGGATCTCTCCTTGATTTGAACACGAAAATGTTATATTTTTGATAAGTTATATGGGCATAAAATTTGTAAATTGATACATTTTTTAAATGAAGTTTTGAAACCTCAATTTCTTCATGTAATTTGGCTTTGTATTGCTAGTCTTTTAATATAGTATATAACCACAGGATTCGAGAGAGTTGAAGAGGACGAACCAGGGTTAAAGTGAAGGATTGCGATTGATTGGTGAGTGTTCCTTGCATGTTGTGCTTCCAATGACTATGTGGAATGTTATGAATATTTGCTTGAATGTTAAATGCTTTTCAATGATTGTTAAATGGATTTACAATGGATGAGTGTGTACTTTATCGCACTCGACCTAAGTGAATGTGAATTTTCAATGATCAAATGATTTAATGTTACTTGTGCATGAATGTAAGCTTTTGGCTGAACTGGGCCCTTGCCTTTGTTGCCAGTCGACTTGAGCCAGAAGCGGACTCAGTCGAGTAGCTGGTGATCCTAGGACACTGTTTGGTATACTCGAGTATGACCACGAAATCTGGTGGAGTATTGGCCAATGAATGAAATGCAATGAATGAAATGATTGATTGAATGAAATGATCACTGTTGGAGTTTTATTTCAAATGTTTTCACATGTTGAAGGTATAAAGGAGAAATGGTTGGAGACTGAATGACTGAATGAATGAATGACTCCAAGTGAGCACGTATCCTTCCAATGATTGAATGTTTACTTTTTGAATGACTGCTTATTATTGTGCAAAGCGTGTGAAGTGTTAAATGTAATATTTCCGTGCTTTACCTACTTGACTGTTGGTTTGGGAACCTCACTAAACTTTTAGCCCATTCTTTTAGTTTTGTTTTCTTTACAGGAATGGAGGCTGGAGCAAGTAAGCGTGAAATAGTGTGTATAATCTTTATGTACTTGTACTTTTATAGATGAAATGTAGTTGGGATCTTTGTTAATGAAATCCTATGTTACACTTTTGGATTGTAAATTAAGTTGGAATTTTTGGATGAATGGAACTTTTATGTTAATCTAGAGACGTGAAAGAATATTTCAAGAATGTTAGTGAGTGAGTCCTGGCGAGAGCAAGACAAGCGGTCCGCTGAATCCTTTGGTTCGCCTTAGGGGGAGGTGGGATCGTCACATATATAACTTGCAACTAGGCTATGCACTTCATGTACCAAAACTGGAAATTGATTAGTTAACTTGAAAACAACATGAAACCTTCCATAGAAATCCTTCCTTCTTATCCTAGACCAACATACATCAAGCAAACTCAAAACCTAGTAAGAAAACCTAGTAGATCATCATACATCAAGAAAACCTAGGAGTTCCATAAGTACATCTATTAGATCATCATGTAAATATCAAGAAAAATAGGTTTCCTAGCAAAATTTACCTCTTTACCTCCAAACCCAAGAATGGTAAGCAAATCAACAAAGATACAAGGTTTTCTTCCTCCAAAAACTTCACCAAGAGCTTCCCTCTAAACTTGATTGAAAGTTCTACAGAGTAGATTTAGGTTTTTCTTTTGTTTTCTCACCAAATAAGCAAGAATCAAGGCTTGAAATTGAGTTCATTTTCTTTCCTTTTCCTCTCTCATATTTCGGCCAAGAAGAAAGAAAAACACGGAGCTTTGTGTGATATAAAAGCTTGATTTGGATAAGGATGAACTCTTAATCTTGGTCAGGGTTTCATGGATAAGCGACAAGTGGCACAACAAGGTGAATGTCTATCTATTTGTCTCTAATCACCAAGATATTTATTGCTTCTCCAATTAATTCTTAACACTTCTTGTCATATAATTCCTTTTGCACAAAATTCCCTCTAATTCACCAAATTTGTTGCACACACTTCACTAGTTGGTCACATTAGCATAACACTCTATGAAATTCAACATGCACCAAATTAAATAAGGTAAATATGACGCCCCCACTTCTCCCAAGGACGAACCCAAGGGTATCTGCAGGACGCCTTCCCAACTCTCGCTAGGACTCAAGACAATTCAATCCAAACTTAATGATACATACCAAATAATACAAGTCTAAAATGAAGAAAAGTCACTTCCTTAACTGAATATCCAAATCTTACACCACGTTCTCAAAATATACATCAAGTCCCAAAATACAACCATTAAAAGTCGACTAAACATTTACAACCAAGATTCCAATAAAAAATATAACCTAGTCGGCTTTTCCAAAATCTTCCAATCCACCTGTTAAGGAAAACAAATCTACGGGGTGAGCGATTGCTCGTGAGGCCAAGAAACACACATGCAGGCACATAATTCAAGTAGCAATCACAATTTAGCAAGTAAAACAGTAATATTCAGGCAATTAACAATTCGAGTGAGAAAAGTAAACAGAAACAATTCAAGGATATAAGAGCTCTCAGGAGCTAATTTTCACTTGCTTTGCCAATGCTCGATCAATCACCTCCCTGCCATGACACTCCGTCAACCGGGTCGGTATTTAGTCCGTAGAAACTCCACTTACCCATTCCCCGTCCACCATACATACCCCACCGGGCCCGAACAGCTATAAAGGCACTACTATATGAGTAGGCCAAGCATGATCTCTTGTGATAGCCCCACCTTCCCTTAAGGCGTACCAAAGGGGTTAGCGAACTGCCTGCCCAACTCTCGCCAGGACTACTAGACGGTAATACACAAACAAAACGATCTAAAATATATATATTAGTGCTCCTAAACAATTCACCAATCACAAAGCGGAAAAACGAAAGTCGAAACTAAAAGTGAATAGTGACTGCCACGTCACAATCCGGCCGGAACCCAATCTAATACAGATAATGTTACATAACTCTAGAGAATGAACATTTCCAAACCAAATACAATGCATGAACATGATTAAACATTTTTATATGCATACGTTTGTAATTTACAACCCAAAAGGGAACTATTTGAATCAAGGTACATTTAGGGTTTTCCAACTCCCGAGGAGCTATACAAAAGTATTTATACTAGCTCAATTCACTCTTCAAAATGATCATTGGTCCAAAAGAGGGTTCCCTATAAGGAAAACAAAGGTAACGGGGTGAGCTTTCGCCCAATGAGGTACCATCACTCAAGCATTCAAGGATCACCAAAATACAATGCTATTTCAACTGCAACTGCAATTTCAACTCCTTTAGTTCAGCAGTTGCCATTCGATAGGGGGTCTTAGAGATAGGTGACGTCCCCGGTAATAAGTCAATCTTAAACTCTATCTCTCTCTCTGGAGGTAAAGCTACTAATTCATCAGGAAATATATCCGGATATTCACTCACTACCGATACATCTTCTACCTTCAACTTATCAGTGGGGGTGTTTATAAGAAAAGCTAGGAACCCTTGTGCCCCTTTATTAAGTAGTTTCCTTGCCCGAATACCCGAAATCATTGCAGATGAGGCTAAACTACCCCTTATATCTAGCCTTAAAGTCGCCTCCCCCTGTATATGAAATTTCACTACTTTCCTCTTACAGTCAAGTTGTGCATCGTATTTAGCTAATCAGTCCATACCCAATATAACGTCGTATCCCTTAATAGCTAAACTTATAAGATTCCCGAAAAGATTCCTCTCTCCTACCCAAATTTCACAATTAGCATACATTATACCAGTAATCACATGTTGATCCCCCGTAGGAGTACTAACTTCTAAGTCATAAGGCAAGCTAACAGGTTTTATATCAATTCCGCACATAAAATCGGGGTTAACAAAGGAATGGGTAGCACCAGGGTCTATCAAAATCCTTGCTAGACGATGGAAGACAGGGATCGTACCTTCTACGACCCCAGATGAATCATGGACTTGATGTTGCTCAAGGGAGTATACCCGAGCTGGCACCTTCGGCTTTGTCCCTTCCACCTTGGACTGTCCCGAGTTGGCCTTCGATGATTGGGTGGTTACTCTTGCCTCCCGAGGTAATACCGGGCAGTTGGCTATTTGATGCTCCGCACTCCCACAGCGTAAGCATTTTCTTTCCTTCCTCCAACAATTGTCCTCGGTGTGGTTTGGTTTTCCACAAAATCCACAAGGTCCACGAGAAACTGAGGCCGAACTTCCCTGTGAGGCACTTCTCTGTAGGCCCCGTCCATTTTGACCACCTCTTGGTGGAGTCCCTCGTGCCATTCCCGGTAGCCTTCCTCCTCCGGCTCCCCTTCCAAACTTGGGAGGGGTACTTTTATCCCCTTGAGTCGAACTACTCGCAGAAAATCCCCGTTTTTTCACCTGGAAGTTCCTAACTTGAAACCTTGCATTTTCAACTCGCAAATCTTTCTCCACGGCTTCACTAAAGGTATTGATCTGGGCTAGGGTTACAAACGAGTCGAGTCGAGTCGAACTTTGGGCTAATCGAGCCGAGCCTCGACTAAATTTTACCAAGCTCGAACTCGAGCTCGAGCTCGACGAGCCGGCAATTTCGAGCTCGAGCTCGGCTCGAACTGAGCTAGGGCTGCAAACGAGTCGAGTCGAGTCGAGCATTGGGCTAATCGAGCCGAGCCTCGACTAAATTTCACCATGCTCGAACTCGAGCTCGAGCTCGACGAGCCGGCAATTTCGAGCTCGAGCTCGACTCGAATCAATTCGAGCCGAGCCCCAGCTCGAAAAAAATAAAAAAATAATTATTTTATTTTTTAAAAATAAATAAAATAATATTTTTTAACAAATAATAAAAATATTAAGGATATATATGTAATTTAACTAAAAAAAATAAAAAATATATATATACTTAAAATAGAAAACTAAAAAATATTATATATATATACTCGAGCTCGCGAGCCGGCTCGCGAGCTAACGAGTTTAATATTTTGAGCTCGAGTTCGAGTTCGATTTCGACTCAAGCCAGCTTGAATCGAGCCGCTCGCGAGCGGCTCGATTCGTTTGCAGCCCTAATCTGGGCTACCGCCAGATCCTTTTGAATTTCCACATTTAACCCCTGAATAAAACGCCGAACCCTCCTTTGCTCTGTCAGAATGAGTTCAGGAGAGAACTTGGATAATCGAATAAACTAGCTCTCGTACTCAGCCACCGTTTGAGTCCCCTGACGGAGCCTATTGAACTCGTCCTCCTTCTTTTCCTAGTTTACAGGTGGAAAGTATTTCGCGTTGAAGTCCCTCATGAAATTCACTCATGTTCTTGGTGTTTGCTCCCGGTCCCACTTCATCCGTATCACGTTCCACCAAGAACGGGCGGCCCCTTCCAACTGGAAGACAGCGAAAGTAACCTATCTTTCCTCTGAATAGTGTAGGGCGGCGAAAATGTCTATCATTTTCTCCAACCACATTTCGGCCACGTCCGGATCTGGCCCTCCCAGAAATTTTGGTGGAGAGAACTTTTGAAATCTCTCGAGGGCCCGATCTTCACCCTCTACTGGATTGCCAGGGTTCCCAGGTTGCTGGACAGGATGTTGGCCCTGGTGTTGCACTACGTGGGCTAACAAGTTAGTCGTTTGCTGCATAGCAGCAACTATTTGAACATTAGGATCAATCCTAGGTTCAAGGTTTGGTTCAGACGTAGTTTCCCTATTACCCCCTTCAGTTGTGGGTTATCACGGCCCCACCTCCCCCTGAGGCGAACCAGAGGGTTCGGCGGGCCGCCTGCCCGGCTCTCGCCGGGACTCAGTCGTTCACTACAATCCTCAATTGAATTTCAAGATACAATCTCAAATATAAATCAAATATTCCAACATTTACATATCAAAAGCGAAGCGTCCACGCTTCCGCAGCGCCACTCTGATCCTTGATCACAATTAATACAGGAGGAAGTCCAAAACTAGACTATTACACATCCAAGCAATTCTAAACGTTCAATACAATCGCAATATGAACGATTACACAAAAAGGAAATCCAAATTCAATCCATACATGAGATAATCCATGAATAAACACTACAAGCCCTTCCTTCGCCTTGAGCCCTGTGGAGGGGAATCAAACATTTTTGGGGTGAGCTAGAAGCTCAGCGAGTAACCAGTAAAATCAGTAATCAAATCTGTTTAACAATAGTTCATTTCAATGATGTCATTTCAATATGGAGTATCAATAATTCAAGAAACATTTACAATGGAAAGCGATAGTAACATTCATGAGAAGGATATGTTCGTTCTCCTGTCATTTCATTGCATTTGGTTTCATTCGTGCATTCATTCACCCTGTCCCTGGCTTTTGGCCAGGCTCCACCAACCTACAAGGTAATACTCGAGTATACCGAAACGTTCACCCAAGTTCCTAGTCGCCCGACCGAGTCCGCTTCTGGCTCGAGACGACCGGTAACAAGGGGCAATGGCCAGTTCAGCCTAAAAGGCTTACATTCATGCACAATTAACATTTCAATCGCTCAATCATTAAAATTTCACAATCACTTAGGCTAAGTGCGATAAAGTACACACTCGCCTCGAAAACTCGTTTAGCAATCATTGAAGGAAAATCAATAATAACAAGACACTGATATGCAAGCACGCATGATATGTAAGAAAACAGTTCCAAAATTAACTTGAAAATAGTTCAAAAGTAAATAATGCGGGAAAGCGGTTCAAGAGTAAATTTGGAAACAGTTCAAAAGTCACTAATGCAAGAAACGGTTCATAAATAATTTTAGAAAGAGTTTGAGGTCACTCACCTCCACGGCTCACAATCCTCGTCCAATATAGCCAATTCCATCATTCAAGTCCAAGCCTTTCACTTGAAACTTAAGGTAACCAACGCTATTAAAAAATCGGACAGCATTTCCCCTTAATTCCTTTATTTTCCAACCTACAATCAAACCCAATCACATAGCAATTAACCACAATTGCTCAAAACCAGTAAACAGTTTTGACGTCCTTTTGCGGTAATGGCACCAAAGGCGCTACGATTGTCAGATGAAGGTACAAAACCCACCGTTTCGAAGCTAAGAGATAGGGTTACAACAATGTAGAAGGCCACTCAGTCCAAATCCCAGCACAACTAGGTCAAATATGCAAAATACCAATCCAGAACCGTAATTACAGGTTTACAAATCACACTATGCTGTAATTAGTCCAACTCAGTCTATACAGGTCCAAATGCATTGATTCCAAAGGTATACGGTAGCTAAGACATCAAGCTACATTTTATCAGAAGACACCAACATCCAAATCCAAAGAAATTCCAGTCAAAACAGACGATTACAAGCGCAGTTTGCACATTCTTATCAACCCAGAATAGCAACAGTAAAATCGACATATCTCATTCTACACTACTCCAATTGCCCTGAAATTTAACAGGCACCTCAAAAACATCAATACCTACAACTTTCATGTTTTAAGGAAAGGCCAATTCGGCCTCTAACCATATGATACAAAACCGGACAGAAAGGGGGTTATGAAACCCTAATTTTTCACATTTCCTTCCAAATCCAAAATTGGTTGGAATTTCCAATCATTTACACCTACTAGAGTCATTAACCATCAATTCCCATCATCAAAGATATCCACAACATCACATTCATATTAAACCAGAAAATTCCTCAATAAATTGAAAACTTCACCATCAATTCCTTCAACCCATGAAATACTCCACAAAATAACACACATGGCCACCACAAACCATTAATTAACCAATACTAGAACAAAAGTAACTTGTATATTCAACTCACCTCAAATTCAAGAGAGCTACCAACTTAGAGCTTCCCTTCAAAAACCAATCCATCCAAAGCTTTAAACCACCATAGAGAGCACTTGTGTGAAATATTTGCCAAAACCACCGATTAAAACTCAAGATTGAAAGAAGGAAATCAAAGGAAAGAAATGGAGTTTTTTCTTTTCTCTCAAAGCTCACGGAAGAACCAGGGAAGAAATGAGATATTTTGGGTGCAAAAGTGGAATAAAAAGGGAGGAAACAGCCTGTCAAAGCTCATGACCGACTCTGCCACGTCAGAATCCGGCCGGAATCTGGCCAGAATCTTGGCCGGATTCAAGGCAGTGGCCAATTCAATTTTTTTTTCAAAACTGCAAGGCAATCCGGCCAGCTATCCGGCCAGAAACTGGCCGGATTTCCGGCCGGATTTGGCCCCTGTCGTTTTTCAAAACGTTTCTTTTCTTTTCCAAGTTGAAAAACTGTGCCACTCCGCTCGAACAACAACGATATATATAAAATGAAAACCCTCCTTCATACGGGGCGTCACATGGGTTGCCTAGTACCGCCCCCACGGCCTTGTCCACTACGAGTGCCCTCCATTGATTTAAGTCAATCGAAGGTCGAGGCACAAATATAATATTAAAGGGGCATATAAACATAGTCATATAAGCATGAACAAATAACCAAGAGTAAACACCACATAAGGCATGTATACACATAGAGCATTTATACATAGAACACATAATTGTTTCAAACAGTCATACAAGAGCGGTCAAGCAAGTATATACAAAAGTAATCCCATGAAGCTAAAAGAGGGTCTTCCAAAATACAATGTACAACTTAGGTCCCAAAAGTGCAAAACAACTAACCAAAAGCTTTTCCTAGGTATCCCTCACACGGGATCAAAACATGGCCCAAAGAACTCTAACCTAGTTCTCACCTGAGCCAACCGACTCCTCCCCAGAGCTAGAGCTAGGGGCGCCTCCCTCGCCTAGAGCTCCGTCACCCGGAACTCCCCCTGGCACATTAGCGCCAATCACTCCCTGGATTAGCGCCTCACACTCGTTGATAATACCACCGGACCGGTCTCTAACCTCCCGGACCACCCTGGTGAGACGGCCGTTGACTACGTGTAACTGCTCTCTAAGAGCATTCGTCCACTCCTGCTCCATGGCTACGTCCCCCGGAAGCTTCTGAATCCGATTCGCCTGCATCCTCATGATGCACCTCACACGCTGCAGCTCAGTGTGATCTCTGGCGGCGGCACGCCTGAGCCTCCTCCTCTCATCCAACACGACCACGACCACATGGTCAGCGTAGGAGTAATGCTGGCAACGACCACAGCGCCTAGTCTGACTGGCCGTGCTCCAGCGCCGAATCGGTCCTCTGGGCCTCTCCTCATAATCGACGACGCGAAAACGCCTCCGCGGCAGCCCACCTCCGCTCCCACTAGCTCGGTCCATGACCTATAAGGATATCCACAGTTTACAACTTAGACAGAGTAATCATACTTAAACATACCGTAACACAATCCCCAAA